TGGCATAAAAACAAATTAATTTAAGATATCTACTTGAAACAATGAATACATAGAAATATATTGTGTGCAAACCTGAGGTTGTAGCTTTTATCTATATTTCAATAAACACTGTGATAAATCAATAAATATGAAGTGATCGTTATGGAATAAATTGTTTTAACAAATCATTGTGGCTTTCAGCATACTCTTAACATAGAAGAAGTTATTGTATATGTTAAAAAGCATGTACACAAAAATTATGGTGTACTAATGAAATGCCTTATATGAGCATGCATGGATGAGCAAGCACCTCCCTATCCACACTTACATGGTAATGCAGTAAAAGTCCTCTTATGCCTCCTGAGTGATCAAAAGTTCTTTGATCTGAAAGACCATGGCTTTTGAAATGAGAATAATCTCTTTTCCTATTTTTGATAGATAGGGGTAGGATAGATGTTTCTATTACTCTTGGTCTAAATTTTATAAATCCTAACCTCAGAATTGTATCTTCAGTAGTTAGGTTTAGTGATATTGAAAAAAAAAAATCCGAGGCTGAAGAAATGGCTTAGTGGTTAAGCACACTGGCTGCCTCTCCAGAGGACACCGGTTCATTCCTCACACCCGCGTGGAGGCTCACAACCATCTGTCACGCCATTGCCAAAGCATCCAGTGCTTTCTTCTGGCCTTCAGTAGCACCAAGCTAATACACAGACATGTACGGAGACAAATATTTATACACGTAAATAAAAAATAAAAATAATTGAGGAAAATCTATTGTAAAACTAAGCTTTCAAGAATAATCCAGACACACCTTTTAATCCCAGCACTTGGAAAGCAGAGGCAGGCAGATCTCTGAGTTTGAGGCCAGCCTGGACTACAGAATGAGTGCCATGACAGCCTGGGCTGCACAGAAAATCCCTGCTTCAAAACCAACCAACGAATCAACTAACCAAAAAATGTTGATTAAAACACTTTATTAATTTAGTGTGTGTGTGCACATGTGTGCTTTTGCTGGCATATGCCTTTACCAACAGAATCATCTTGCCATCACTAACCATTAATTTTAAAAATGTAAGTCTATAGTTCACATCTTCAGAGAGAACATAAAATTGTATGTACAGACATGGTTTGTTTATTTTTTGCAATGACTAAAAGCTGAAGCAGATGCACTATTTTGTGACTGTATCAAACACTCTATACTATTCTGTGGCTGTATTAAACACTTTATGGTAATACTGGAACATATAGCTCACATACCTGCCATCTTACACATCCATTCTGGATCACAGATGAAAGTGTGAAATAGAACATGTATTAGTTATTATCTTGGTTGGGTATAACTGTCAAATGAAAGGAGGTCTCAATTACGGGGTTACCCAGGTCAGACTGACTGTGGGCATGTATCTTGGGGACTGTCCTGATTATTAATTGATGGAGGAGGATCCAGCCCACTGCAGGTGATGTTGTTTCCTAGGGAGGTGGTCCTGGGCTGTGTAAGAAAGCTAGTTAACATGAGCTAGAAAGCAAGCTAGCCAGCACATTCTTTCACGGTTTCTGCCAAGTCCCTGCTTGGGTTCCTGCTGTAATAATAGGCCACATTCCATGGTGATTTCACACCAAGGATTACACAAAATCTAATTTTAAGATATTTGACCTGAAAGGAAATTCCATCCTGATGTTCAACACAGTTCCTGTGTTAAAGATAACTTATGCACTTGAATAACTGAAAAATGTGTAAGCTTTCTTCAGTGTCCAAAATAAAACAATATACACCAAATCATATAGTATGTCTGAAAAGATTTATTTTGTAAAATTAAAAGCCTTTTAAAATATTATGATTTAAGTATGTACTATAGTAAAACAATATAAAGTATATTTAAGTTAGTAAGAAAATACTTTTAAAGGTAAACCTGGAATTTTACAAAAGAGGGATGTCATATTCAAAAATATTAAGAGAATAAAAAACTACTTTAAACAGTTTTCTAAAGTTAAATTATAACCATTTTTTTCATCAAAAGTGAAATAAAGATTATACTTAATTAAAACAAGATTATAGAAAGCCATGAGTCAAAAGGAAATACAGATTTAATTTCTCTTCAAATACCTAGTGCTTAATTAAATTCTATTCTGAAAAGAAAAACACTGTTGTAAAAGTTAAACTGTAGGACTCCTTCAGACGGGTTCAAAGGCTAAGAGGATCCTAACGCCATGAGAAAGACAAGAGTCTTTTCCTATGAACTATAGATAGGCTGGTGAGGCTTCCTGCGCCTCCTCAGCCTCACCCACTTGCCGGACATCTGCCCACCACATCAAGGCACAAGGCAAAGGGGCAAAGCATTCCTGTCATAGCCTTGGGAGGACCTCCCGCTTGACCCTGGGGAAGGAGACTTAAAAACAAAAAATCAAAATTCTGAAGCCAAATGGACCTTACCTTCCATGGGGCCTTTAAGATTTCAAAGTGATCTTCTTGTTGTTGTTGTGGGGATTTAGGTCTTTGAGAGCGGTTTGATCAGGTATTTTTAAGATTTTAATTTAAGTGCATATGTGTGTGCTTGCTTGAGAGTATGTATGCGCACCATGTGCTGACAGGAGCCTGGAGAGGTCAGAAAGGGCATTGGATCCCCTGGCTCTAGAGTTACTGATGGTTGGGAGCTTTGTGGGGGTGCTGAGAACTGAACCTGGTCTCTGCAAGGGCAACCAGTCTTCTTAGCTGTTGAACCATCATCGCTCTAGCCGCCTTGCTCCACTGCTCGAAGTTGGTTGCCTTTATAAAAATGCTGGATGAAGGGCAAGGGCTTACTGAATCTTTCTTTAGTTTATAGTTAGTAGGTTGGAAGAATTCACCTCAACCCAAAATAGCCCTGCTGTTGAGTCTATTTGTTCTGTTTCTAGGATGTGAAATACAAAAACAACCCACGTACAGAGGCTCATGCTCTCTCTCCCTTTCTTTTCTTTCTTACCAAGTTGTTTTTCTTTTTCTTTTTTTTTTTTTTTTTTAGTGGACATGATTTAAAGGACCTAAATGGTTTTGACAAGAATCCCCATTCTCCAGGGCAATCACTGTCAACTGCTGGCTGATTCTTTTGAATTATATCTAAATAGGGGGATTCTATTTCTAGATTGTGATGTTTTAGTCATTACCTGTTGATGTCCAGGATGAAAGATGCTTACCTTTTTTTTTTTTTTTTTTTTTTTGAGATGGAATCTCTATATAGTCCTGGATGGTCTACCAGATGGTCCTTGAACTCACAGAGATCCACCTGCCTCTGGCTCCCAAGTGTTGGGCATAAAAGGCATACACCACCATTCCCAGCCCCATTTCTCTTTCTTTTGCATGTTCCTCTGGACCTCCAGCATGAAAGTACATGCCAGCCTTGTAAGCCTCTATACTTGCTGTAATTTGTCCCTTCTACCTGAGTAAGAAAATGTCACTGATATAATGAGCCAATGTGGTGCTCCACAGAGGTCTAGAAGGTCCGGGTCTCTTCCTGCTATTTCATGAGAGGCAGCAGGAGCGCCATTAGAAAAGCCTTAGGACCAAACTGTAAATGTGCCCTCTTCTCTGTTTCATGAAAATGCCAACTGTTTCTGACCCTTCCTTATGTTTGGAATAGAAAAAAAAAATAACATCCACCAAAATCAATGATGCATACAGATACCCGAGGCTGTAGGAACCTGCCCTAGAAAACACCCAACATCTGGTGCAGCAGCTGCATTCTGACCTACCAATAGCGCAAGCTTGCAGTAATCTTCTGTCATTCTTCATCGTCCATACATTGCTTGTAGGGCCAGATGGTGAGACGAATGGGGATGTGCTCTGCAGGTCTGTTTCCTTTCCATTCATGAGGGTGGCCCTAATTCCTGCCATTCCCTCCTGAAATACAACATTGTTTTCCTGTACGTTCAAATCTGACTGTTTGTGACGGTATTTGCAAGTTGAGTCTCTCAGAGGTAAATAATGTATTGTCTTTGTCCTTTTCAGGCTGCTGTGCCAAAACTACAGGCTGGGTGGTTTATAAACAACAATGTATTTGCGATGGTCTTCAGGGTTGGGAGCCCAGGATCAAGGCACCAGGAGATTTGTATTTGGTGATGGCTGCTTCCTGACTGAACACTTGCATGGGGACAAAGACTACAATTTCCTTTTTAAGAGCAGTTTATCCCATTTCTAAACAGCTCCCAAGGACTCCAAATGTCACACTGGCAATTAGGAGTCAACGTATGAACTACTTTGGGGGACACATACATAATCTGTATTAGATGAGGTCATGAAAATGGACCTTTTGTGGTGTGTGTTTGTGTGTGTGTGTATGTGAGAGAGAGAGAGAGAGAGAGAGAGAGAGAGACACGGAGTCTCACTATATCGTCTGGAATATTTCCAATTTATGATCCTCCTGTCTCGGTCTTCTGAGTGCTGGGATTATAGGTATGTACCAGCATGCACAGCAGATCACTATCTTTATTTATTTATTTTTTTTATTTTTTGGATATTGTTATCAAGTCCTTAAGATTTTATACACTATTTTGATCACATTCACCCTCTACTCATTCTAGCTCCATCCCCACCTCCCTAAGTCCCAACTTTATGCCCTCCCCATTTAAAAATTGTCTTAAAATAACCCATCAATTCCAATTTCTACTACCCATATAATCCAGGGGTCACTAGGAGGGGGTGTTCTAGACAGGGTCTCTCTGTGTAGCCTTGGCTGACCTGGACTCATTTTGTAGACAGAGATCTGCCTGCCTCTGCCTCCAGAGGATTGAAGGCATGTTGGGATTAAAGGCGTGAGTCACATGCCTGGCTGGTGCTATACCTTTTTTTTTTCTTATTTACTTTTAATTCATAATCATAAACTTAATCCAACTAGACTTGGAGGGAAATGAGAAAAAATATGGAACCCAGAGAACTTCTGTGAGAGCAGAGATCACAGGGCACTTTGAGCAAATGGGATGGGGATGCCCTCCTGAGCTACAGAAGGAATGGTCTGTGGGTAAGATGCCCAAAAGCCAAAATAATTAATTTAGAGTTGTCCACAGTCAGAAATTGTGGTCCTCTTGCTGGTCTTGCCATTCCTGGACCCAAAATGCTCCATGGCTTCCACGATGTTCACCTTCCCAAAGACTACATGCTTGCCACCCAGCCCCTCAGTCTTGGGAGTACAGATAAAAAATTGGGAACCATTTGTGTTTGGTCCAGCATTTGCCATGGACAAAATGCCAGGACCTGTATGCTTCAGGATGAAGTTTTCATCCTCAATTTTCTTCCTGTAGATGGACCTGTCACCAGTGCCACTATGGCATGTGAAGTCACTACCCTGGCACATGAATCCTGGAATAATTCTGTGAAGGGAGGAACCCTTATATCCAAATCCTTTCTCTCCAGTGCTCAGAGCACAAAAGTTTTCTGCTGTCTTTGTAACTTTGTCTGCAAACAGCTCGAAGGAGACACGGCCCAAGAGCTGGCCATTGGCCTCGATGTGGAACATGGTGGGGTTGACCTTGGCTACAGCAAAAGACAATAGGGGACAGCGGCATCTGCAAAGCCGGTGCTATACTTCTTAATAAGTTTGTTTGGCCTAAGACAGCTTGTACAAGACCTCCGGATCCCAAACTTTCTTATCTTCTCTATCTTCTATCATTATCTTCTGATCTCCCAGTCCTCTTGTGAGGACCTGGTCGCTGAAGAACAACCTGTTGGTCCCGGTCATGGCTTGGTAGCTAAATGCACCTACAGCTCTTACTGAACCCAGGTCCAGAACCCAGCATCTTCGTGGGAAGCCAACATGCGGCCCATGACAGCACACTCTCGGGAGCTGGGAGCTGCTACACTGATAATTTACGATAAAAACACATGCATTTTGAAGGTACAAAAAGACAAGGAAGGCTGGAAGAGAAATTGCAAGCCCCTATCTCCAGAACAACTCAGAGTGCTACCAAGCCTTTAGATCCAAGAACTGTAACACAGGCCACGATGGGAACCAAGGGTCCTGGTTCCTGGGGCCTAGTCCATGCCTGTAACGCTACCATAGCTGCTTTGTGGCTGCCCGTTTATTGGAAGCTGAAGATTATATAACAGCTTCCTTGTGCTGGTCCCATTGGTTGTTAAAATCTATAGCTATAAGCCTCCCATCTGAGTATTTAGAACCGTATTTGGTATCTTGATTCCGGGGGATAAGCTCCTATGGCTTGTTCTGGACCTGGCAGTTCCATCCCTAGTCTTTGGGTACTCAAGGGCCCTGTTCTGCCAATACTAGCTTGTTATTCTCATCTGGTTATGCTTTCTATCCAGACAGAACAAAAAGATGCTAGCTGGCTGACTGGTAATGAGTCCATTTACTAACCAGCTTTTCTTTGCTTTAATGCCCATGGCAATACAGATGCTTCTGGTCTCTGGATGTCAATGTTACTTCAGTCCCTATAAGTTCCACCTCCTGACATATCTGGCAGTGCCCATTCCCTTAGCATAAAGTTACCCAAGAAATAGCCAAAGATCTCTTTTGTTAGTTCCAGAGGAAGCTCCAATTCCCCAAACTTCAAAACGTAGTCTAAATATTCAGAAATGAGCTCAATCTGGACTATAGGAGGATTTCTGATGACTAGATAAAAGTCAGCCTTCATCAAGAACTTCTGAAATGTGTTTCCACCTACCAAAAGAAGTGATTTCCCTGGTAGAGGGGACATATGGCTACCTGTGGCACCTATCGGCTTATCAAAGTATATACTGGCCTCCATGTTCCTTCAGTATCACAAGTACCTGTTTAACAGTTCAGAATCCATGATAGCATCCCGCTTTTTCACATCCTCCTCCACCCTAAACTCCCTCCCTCACAGCTTCCCTTCTTCCTACTCATTTGTCTTATTTGTATGTTTGCTCTCTTTCTCTGTTCTGCTCCTTTCACTATGCTTTCTGTATTCTCTATGCCTTGTTATTCTCTATTCTCTCATAGATATCCCTGGCCATGTCCAGGCTGCTGGCCATACTCAGTCTACCTCTTTCTCTCTCTGCTCTGGACTCTCCCGGATGCCCGTGGCTATTCTCTCCTAGCTATAATAAAAAGCTTCCCTTTGACCATGCCAGAGCAATCATGTCATCAGTTTATACACCTTTGAGGACGAACTGGGGTGTTGGGGTTTCTATTTCTGTGATAAAAACACCGTTTTTATCGGTGGGGAGGAAAATATTTATTTCAGCTTACATCTTATGGTCAGTCCATTATGAAAGTCAGAACAGGCACCTTGAAGCAGGAGCTGAAGCAGAAGCCATGGGGTAACACTGCTTAACCGGCTTGCTCTTCATGGCTTGTTCTGCCTGTTTTGTCGGTCTGAGACAATGTCTCACTATGTACACCCGGCTGGTTTGGAGACATTTCAGTCAGTGAAGTCTAGGCTTGCAAACAGGCTCAGGATTGTACACTTAGCAGCCCACGATTTACTGTATGACAGACTCCAGCATCCTGGCCGTCTGTGGGGCACGATCTCAATGATTGTTGTGGAGGGCTCGGCCCACTACGGGTGGTGCCAACACTGGGCAGATGGTCCTGGGTTGTATAAGAAGATGGACTGAGCAAACTAGGGGGAAGCTAATAAAAGTGTCCCCCAGCTTCTGCTTGAGTTCCTGCCCTGCTTGAGTTCCTGTCTTGACTTCAACACTGACCGACCATTACTTCAAAGAGTAAGCTGAAATAAACGCTTTCCTCCTTGAGTTGCCTTTAGTTGTTTTATCACAGCAACAGAAGCCCTGAGATGTAAACTGGTACCAGGAGTGGGGTATTGCTGTGACAGACCTGATCATGTTTTGGGAGGACTGTAGGACCACTTTGGAACTTTGGGCTAGAAAAGCCATTAAGTATTCAGAACTCAGCTCATATTGCAAGGACTTTGAAGAGAATGCTAAGAGCAATGTAAAGGATGGAGGCCTGGTTTGTAAAGTTTCAGAGGAAAGTTTTTAAGAGTCCCTTAAGGAATTTAGTGAGACCATTCCATACTTTGAACTAAGAGTCTGTTGCTATGGTCAGCTAGGACTGAAGACTTAGCTGTGATTAAGGAGAAGTAGGCACACTGTAGTGCATGCCTCTAGTCCGAGCACTCAGGGAGGCAGAGGCAGGCTGGTCTCTGGGAGTTCAAGCACAGCCACAAAGCGAGTCAAGGACAGCCAAGGCTACACAGAGAAAACCAGTCTTGGAAAAAAACAAAAACAAAAACAGAAGCAGCAAGCATCAGTGAAGCAAAATCTTCCGGGAGATGTTTTAAGATGAGCACACAGAACCTACGATCTAGAGGGGACCAAGGCTGTTGTGCTTTGTGCTGGCAGCTGAATTTGGCAATGTGTAAGAGTGTCTCAGCTTGGCAGGCTCTTTGACCTCCCCACCCCCCAAGGGAGAAGCAGCCCTGCAAGGCCACAGAGGAAGACTTTAAAGCCAGTCCTGAAGATACCTGATAAAAGAGTCAGATGAAAGGGGAGGAGGTCCTCCCCTATGGGTGGATTTGGAAAGGGGCAGGGAGGAGATGAGGGAGCGAGGGTGGGGTTGGGAGGGATTGAGGGAGCGGGATACAGCGTTAATACGATGTAACTAATAATAAAAAAAGTATCTCAGCTTGTATTGATTATAAAGGTCACAGATAGCAGCTAAGTCATGGCACCATGAGAGGCAAGGAAAGGCCATTGGTGAAGGTACAGCTTCAACTCCAGTAGGATCTCCAGGACTGAAAGGCTCATCTCCATTTCTACCACAGGGGGCAAATGATATCCAGCAAGTCCACTTTTCATAGAATCAAAATATGTCCTTATTACTTTCTATTCCACTTTCTGGGAAACCTTCAGTAGCTTTTTTTAAAAAAAAACAAAACAAAACAAAACAAAAAAAAACATGGTTAGAAAAAGCATAGCAAAGAATGCTAATTGTCCCCTTTATTAGTTTAGAAGGGCATACAGTTTCCCAGAATAAAGTTCTGAACTTCTGCAAACTAAACAGAAGACTAGTTGCTGCAGACAGTTGGATTTCAAGAAATGGAAAATCAGATCTGGTTAATCAGGTAGTTTGAGGTATCTCTTATTCTTGCCTTTCACAGGATGACGACCTAAGGCTTATTTAGATTATTAACTCTAGCTTTGCCTCCTGTGTATTTGCTGGCTCTGTTTGGTCTCTGTCTCCTTAGGTATGTTTTCTGTGAAAAAGGCAGCTTCATCTTTTTAAAAACTTTATGGATGCGGGTGCAGGCACATTCCATGGCATTCATGTAGTGAGAGGACAACTTTTGGAAGCTGTTTTTATCCTTCCACTGTGGGTTTCAGTGTTGTCTGGCTTCACAGAAAGCACTTTTTCGCACTGAACCATAGTGGCAGTGTTTTTTTCTTTTTTGGGACAGGGTCTCACTGCCGAGATGTGCTGTGATTCATGGTTCTTTTTCGTAAGCCTTCCGAGTGTTAGCATAATAGGTATAGACCACAACACCTATATCTCTATGAGAGAATGCCAGTCCCTTGAACTTCTGTCAGTTCTTCTGCCTCAGCCTCCTTGGTGAGGGATTACAAGCGTGCACCACCATAGCTGGTGTGATTCCTGCCAACATAAGGTCTCTACTCTTGCCTTATTGAAATAAGTCATCATTTAGTCCTTGGCTTTGTGAACCACCCTCTTCGCAGATCTTTCTGCTCGTGCCAAGCCATGCTACCTACTAGTTCGGAACTATTCAATGGCATTCAGCCAACTTAATCAGAGCTTTGACAGGACAGAAATTATGGGAAGAGACATGGGCAGGGAAGAGTCCCCTCGGCCTGGAGCGTGCAGGCTGAGAATTCCAACTCATTTGCATTAAGGCTGCCTACATAGCATTATGTGTACAAAGATGCTGAATGCCAGTGCGGACGGTGATCCAGGCTTAAGGCTGGAGTGGGTATGAGCCTGAGTAGGGCCTCATTCCTTTTTTTTAGGCATCACCTGAGAATCTTAAACTGTGAGTTTTGTTTGTCTACTTCTCAATATCCCTGTGGGCTACATATTTACTTTACCAACCCTAATCCTGTCAGGAGCCCCCTAGAAACCAATCATCGATCTCATTTTAGGTTTTTTAGAAGCCCTTTAAAAATAGAAACTTTGAATACCTCCAAAACCCTATACGTGGCTATTGTTTTTTTTAAATAGCTGCAACTCTCCCTTGAGTTTGTATCCACACTTGGGCACTCTCTTTCTTTCTGGGACTCATTGTTTCTTTCTCCACCCCCACCCCCCAGGGTTTCTCTGCATAGCCCTGGCTGTCCTGTCCTGGACTTGCTCTGTAGACCAGCCTAGCTTTGAATTCACAGATATCCACCTGCTTAAAGGCGCCACCACGCCCGGCTGAAAGTGTGGGGTTTTGGGTCTGGGACTCTTCTTTGAGCATTTCTCAACCCTCACCCCTACATTAAAGCATCGTTAAACTCCTGCTTCACAAACTGGCCAGTCTGATGATGTGGTTTCTGTGATTAAGCCGCGAATCCCAGCTTGGGCTGAGTGAAGGTCCCTAAAAGTTGATCAGACCGCCTCGGGCTGCCGAGGGAAACCTCGGGGAGGCATGACCTGTGCTTGTCCCCTCAAACGCTCATTTCACTGCCATTCCTGCCGTTGTACTTAGACTCGCTATTCTGTAAGCATCCTGCCTCGCTGCTTCCCCAAACACCAAGCGCCTAAAGCTTCCAGGGGCTGCGGACATTTGTGAGGAGCAGCGCTTTCTCCGCAGGGGACCTTCCCTCCGGGTTTGTCGAGGTGCACTTCTGGAAGCTGTCTGCTTAGGTCAAGTCCTTCTACCTTATCCCATCGAAACCACGAAGCTGTTATCCTTTTAGGATGCCATCCTGCACTGCCTCAGATCACCAGTTTAACTTCGGTGCCCCGCAGACTGTAACCCATTCACTTGTCGGGCCCCCTCCCTCGAAGAGGGACTGGCAGCACAGTGGGCACCCCCACCCCCCCCCCCCCTTGAACGGATCTGTGCCGAGCTCTCCTCGACGGCAGCACCGCGCTCCGAGACCAGCTCACCGAGACGCAGCGTCCAAACCCAACTCCCCCAAACAGGTAAGGCCGTCGGGCTGCGGCCAGCCTGGGAACGCAAGCCCTCCCGCAGCCGGCGGCCGAGGGCGGCAGGATCCCGAGGCCCCAGGGCGTTCGGCTGAGCACCGCCCGCCTAGGGCAAGTGCTCGTTTTTCGGTCCGACGGCTTGGGGCACGCACCGCGGCGGCGTCCGCAAACCGGACGGCCCAGCGGGCGCCGAGGGACGAGCGGGCGGGCTCGGCAGCCATCTAACGAGACGCTCGGGGAACCCTGCGGAAGAGCGCATCCCTGAGGGGAAAGAAGGGGGAGGCGAGCCGGCGCCGGCTCGGCCCAGAGGCCACACCCTCCGGGCTCGCCGCCTCCCGGCGCTCCCAAGGCGCAGAGCGGAACTCTAACCGCCGGCCGCGAAAGCGCGCCCTGGAACGCCAATGAGCGCGGGCCGAGCGGCTCCAGGACGCCGTCTGCCCGACCGGGATTGGCTGGGGCTCGCCCCTCCTCCTCTTCTCATTGGCCAGACGGTCTCCTCGGCCCGCTAATTGGCTTTTCGTGCAGGCACTTCTGATTGGTCCCTCCGGGGGAGCGAGGTTTTGGAAATTGTTCATCCCGGATTGGCGCATTTGAGGCCCCTCGAGGAAGGGCCCGTCCCGGCCACACCCGGTCCCGGCTCCCGACGCCGAGGCTCCCGCCCCTCCAGCTCGCGAGCAC